GCTCATATATGGCAAGGATCTATACAAGGCTTTCAGATCTTCAATCTTGACCTAAGATTTGTGCATGAGGCTGCTTTAGAGGGCTGAGGTGGGGCAACGACGTGCAGGATGCAAGATATCCTCCAATGTCTACCTTGCGAGTTTACGAAGACAGTGCCTGTGCTTGATGTCGTAGTCAGCATCTTGACAGACTAGAACCAGCACATGTTGGCGTTGGGGCTGGGATTCCTTTGGCTTGCAGATTGGCATCTTTTTTGGCAGGCATGGCATTATATCCGGACAGACTCAGAAGAGCAGCTTATCACGCAAAACTAAAGCGACGTGCAGCTCTTCACAAAATGTCTGCAGGGAGTCTCCAAGTAAGTCTACACATTTACATATCTAAATAACTTCTCAGGAGTTGTTGAGGGGCCCCTGCTGCTGCACGGCCGATGTAGCCAGTGCCGCCAAAGACCACGATCTTCATCTTTGGCCCTGCGCATTCTGGTTTGGGGCTTCAGGGCTGCAGGTTCCAGGATGTTAGGATCTTTGGGCTGTAAAACTCTACAAGTTTAAGTTCTTAGGATCTGAGGATGCGGCTTTTGAGTGTTGCAGGGTTGTGTGTAAGCGCAAGCGCAGCAGATTTCACTAGGGAGAAGGTACCTATCCAAGGCCTGTCAGTCCGGCAACGTTGGCTGCCACGGGCGCTGTCGCCGTCGCCTCATTGTCATAAAAGGAAATGGCAGTCCGATCCACTTGTGGGTATTCCGCGTCTTGTGACACTCCAGTAGCGAAGCTCAAATGCCACAGCTTCGACTTTTGCTGGGTCCTCTCCAATCCATTACAGAAGGTCAGCTTCCAAGAGTGTGCCTAGAGCTTTCGGAGTCAAGGACACGATTCTGAGGGTTAAGGGCTCATGTGCACCAAGCTCAACATCGTCAGCTCACAAGGCTTGCAACAAATCTAGAAGCACTATGGAAAACTGCTGCCCAAGCACACTGGTTCCTGCAGCTTCTGCTTTCGGTAATTTCACTCGTTTAGGGCTACTGTGGAGTCTATTGCTTGTTCTGCGTGGTTTGACCGCGTTGCCTTTGGTGGTACGTACCCCCTCGTCTCCTAGAGTCTCGCCTGGATTGAAGCTGAGACTGGTTGTCAAGTTGTACAACATGATGATAGCTTGAAATTGTAGAATGGCTTTCCATCGTTTGGAGAACAGGGGTAAACCAAGTCATCCTCACGGAAACCAAATGCCAGCACCAAGCGCCAAGAATGGTAATGCTACACTTGACAGGAAGAAGCGCGTAACTGCAGCCATGAACCCAAACACCAGTGATTGCCCTTAAACCCTGCAGTAAACCCCAGGCCCCACATCCTAAACCCAAACAGTGAACATAAAGCCCAAAAAACCATGAACCTTAAACCCCTGAGCTGCATGCCCTCCTCGCCGTCCGCCTTCGGCCCAAGCGTCCATAGCGGACTGGGCGGAGTCGTAGGTTGTTCGCTGACGTTTGAATTCAAGGTTAAGATTTTGGGGTTGTATTAGGAGGTCCTTAAGGGGGGGTGGTCCAAGGGGGGTAGGTAACCTAGTAATCCCTACTATTCCCTTATACTCCCTCAGGTTCCCCAAGGCTCCCTTGTACCCTCCCCCCTTGAACCACCCCCTCTTTAGGATCCTATAATTGTAGCGGTAAGAGTGAAGGGTTGTAGAATTCAAGATTTGCGGCCATGGAGGTCAGGATCTAGGATCGGGAGGTAACATTTTGGGATGGGCAAGCCACAGCATGAGCAGGCCTACAATGGTAAGCAGATTCCTCGTTCATAATGACCTCCCCACCCCTTCTACTAATGAACATATATGAACATATCGCTTATCATATAAGATCTTGTCACTATATTGCGGATGTTTATTGTCCGGGGTGGGAAGGTATTAGCACTGGGGCCTCAGGGGCAGGGCTTAACTTTTCCGGGCGCTCAAGCTAGCTTAAGGTTACGCAAAACTTTTACGCCTCCCATTTCCGCAAAGGTATGAGCTTTTAGAGTTTGGCTACCCTACATATGTATCCATTACAAAGGGATTGTAGCGGATTATATTGCGGCATAGAAGGATTGTTTTGGGACATGGGAAAACAAAATGGAAACTACTATTTGGGGTTTTTGGTTTGTTGCTTTTCCCACCTCTGAATTGCAGGAACGTATCGTATGCCACACTCGGGCATTTTCCCCCCAGAGTCACAAGGGTGAATTCTCTGGGTCCAAGCACCCCATCATCACACATCCTCCCGCACAAACCTACAGTACAGCTCGTCCTTCCAAAATCCCTAGCACTCAGTTTGTGGTGGTTGCGCGTGCTCTCGGGATAGTTGGACCATGTGCGTAAGATTCTATCCATCTTACAATATCCCAAACCGAACCACGACTCACCTGGGAGTTTATCGAAAACATCGCTAAATATCCCTATAGAAGCACTTGAGACTCCTTTTTCGGAGCATCCAGAATCCGTTCGAGCCCCCTAAATGCCGACGTATAGTTTTCAAAACAATGCCCTCAAGTTTCTAAAGACGCTTTATTGCGGCCAACATAATCCTTTGCTAGTCTAATAAAGGCCAACCCCCCAAAGGCTGCTTCATCGCTCGCTACACTGCAGTCCCGAAATCCTACGCTCTCAATCCAAAACCCTCTAATCCCAATTTCCATTTCATTTTCCAGGTTCTTTTACATTTTAACCTCCATTAATATCCCTAAACCCTGTATAACCTAGTAGCCACCTCCCCTTCATAACCCCCATAATACTCCCCGATATGGTCCCCTATGTAACAAACTTTAGGCAGTTTAGACTTCTAAACCTAACCCCTATAAGACTACTCTAATAATTCCCTTTAAGGAATCTAGACAATAGCTCACATAACTTGAAAACCCTAAACCCTAGATAGTAGTCTCCATGTTGTTTTCCATTGTCCAAATACAACCCCAATATATACCCCATGGTATACCAAAACCTTGGATAAATTCACAGCCATGCCGCGCCCCGCTGCTGCCAGCGCGGCCGCGGCGCAGCGGCCGGCAGAGCTTGAAGCAGCCGGGCTTCGCTGGTCTGACAGTTTGAGTTTCCCCAAATTGAGGGGGGGGACTTTTAAAGGGTATTAAGGGGTATATCAGGGTTATCTAGGGACATGTACTAGGGTTCAGGGTTTAGGGTTTAGGCTCAAACTTGAGAGCTCATCTACCACTCAAAACGGCTAGACTCTCAGCTGCAACTATAAGGATCCAACGAGTTTCCCCCTTTAATGATCCCTAGAAAAACTGTCCTACACCTGTACAACCTAACAACAGCTCTGCCGGAGGGAATCCGGTCTTTCAGGAAACTCCCAGATCTGCCACCCCTGCGCTCTAAGTTTCTTATTGGTGCTTGGGAGGAGTGGGGGGGTGAATACAAGGACTAGATGATTATAGGGCATTATAAAGAGATAGATGATTGGTCCTGCAATCCCTAACTCTAAACCCTAAGTAGTAGCTTCCCTACCCTACACCCCAAACCCTAAAGAGTGGCTCCTTTGCTCCTTTCCACTCCCCCACTCTCCCTTAATACAACCCTATATGCCCCTAAACCCTGTATAACCCTATAAAGCCCTAATCCCAATAGACTCCTACATATCCCTAAAACCTCTAAACCCTACAACCTACACACACCAACATTTTTTCGCCAACCGCTGCAGAGAACACAGCAGCCAAACGGTCTGGCCTTGGTGTTGACTTACGGCTTAAGGCTGTAGGGGGTTGGTTTAGGAGGTTTTGGGGCTTTAGGGGCTTTAGGGGTTTTAGGGGCTTCAGGGATTTTTAGGGGTTTAGGGGTTTGGGGGGGTTAGGGCTTCAGGTTTGGGGTTTAGAGGTTTAGCGTTTGGGGGGCTTATGAGTATATTCTAGGGAGCTGCAAGAGGTACATAACGATGAAAACCTGATGAGGAACTTCAAACAGCCTCCCTAGAATTCACTCCTGAAAACATGCGAATCAGAAGCCTCTTGCTGTTGTGATGGCCAAAATCAAAAGTCATGATGCAAAGAGAGAAAAGAGCAGCTGCAAGTGCAATGACAATACAGCGCAAACAGGATGTGCAACAACATCGATGCCAATCATAAAAAAAAAGAACACAGAATGAAAAGTCGTAACATGGCTCACTGTTGCGAAGCCATCCTGATGATCACGGAAAAAGATGTCGCAGCCGTAGCAACAACAAGGATACGAGTATCAGCCAGAGTGATTCCAAAAAAACGATTGCAACAGCGACAATAACTGCGCGCTATCACTTCTAGCAGCTACATAACTTCCTTCTTTCACTTGCAAGCTACAGCATTCGAAGTCAAAAGGATCTGGGTTCCGTGCTCAAGGCGCTTCAGACTCGTACATGACACTGGGAACTGCAAAGAGCTTCCACAAAACAACACCCGTGATTTGGGGAAATTACGGCCAGCATTCTTATAATGGTTAGCATTCTCATGATAGCTGTCATTCCGCTTATTTGTACTGAGATGTAACTAGTACCACTATCACTTCTATCCCCTTTTATCTCTCTACTATCACGCCGCCATTGTCGCATGCCTTGCTGGAGGCTTGAGAGATGAAGATACGAAACTAGGAGAATTTCTGAGGAGTAACCCCAAGTCTCCCGCATTTCTAAGCTACTTGCCAAATCCCCGAGTGCTTGGACTCTACACCACTGTCAGAACCCAGGAACATAAGACTAAAGAAGCCCTGAAACCCTAAACCCAAACGCTATTTTCCCTCGTACATTTCTAACCTGAAAATCGTAAACCCATAATTAAACCCTACACTTCTGAGATAAAGATCACCCCTAACCCTAAACCCTACGCAAACCCTTTAAGAATACCCTGGATTGCTGTTAAGGAACTTAACTTAAGCTACCATAATAGGTATATATAGTAATTACTAGGGTTTCCCCAATATAGGTTCCTTAACAGCAACCCCGTACAGTTGTCCCACTTTCTTTTCCATTGAGCCCCCGAGCTCATTGACCCAGCCAGGTGGGGGCCGCTGGGACATCATGGGCGCCTGAGCTCAAGGGCTTGCGAAGGTTTAGGGTTTAGGGTTTGGGGTATTAGGGTTTAGGTTTTAGGGTTTAGGGTTTAGGGTTTGGGGTATTAGGGTTCAGGGTTAGGTTTTAGGGTTTGGGGTTTAAGGCTTGGGGTATTAGGGTTTAGGGTTTGGGGTTTAGGCTTTAGGGTTTCCGCCCGCCCTAAGTCCGAATGGATGCCATTCGGCATTGGGGGTCCGGGGATTAGGTTTTAGGTTTTAGGTTTTCGGGGTTTAGAGGTTTAAGGCTTAGGAGTTGGGGGGGGTTTTGCTGACTCCAAATCTGACTGTGTTCAAGGTTTAGGGGTCTCCACAGAATCCCTCCGTAGTGATGCGTAGTACAAATAAAGGTAACAGAAAAGGAAAAAACATTAGCACAATAGCAGTCATCGCAATGATGGCTATGATGCGGTTATGATGGTGGTTGAAGCAAATGCTTGTGGGGACAGGTGCCTTCACATCTTGCAGTAGGCACAGCGAGACTTTGCAGCCAATACACCACGGTGACTTTACTCGTCGTCCTTGCATGCCCAGTAACGAAAGACCCCATACAGAACCTGATGAACAAGAAACCCACGATCCAGCCTTGGCCGCATTGAGGGTCAGCAGCATCGCAGCACTGTCTGGGCCTGAAAGGAACATTCAAGTACTTGAATCACGCTTGCCTAACAAGGGAGACTCCTGCGCGGCTGTTCTGGCTTCGGGGAGATCAGGAAAGCCTTTTTAGGCTTCGCCACGTTACTCCAAAGCTCACCTTGACGACTTCCTTCAAAATCCTAAGCCCCTCCACCCGTCCTTGAGGCATTTCTGTGCTTTGGCCACGACAATGTCTATATGCTGCGAAGGCATCCCTAAGCCAATCCTTCAAACTCCCCCAGCCCCCGGAAAAAGACAACCAGAAATCCCTTCATACTACCCAGCAGCCAAAACCTCTATACGCAGAACCCCGGCTGAAGACGATAGTTTTGGCAAATATCCAAATACTTTGTACACCGGCCGGATCTCACAAGAAGGCGCCTAGGCCCCCCGCACTCTGCGGGATCTAGTGGCAGCTGGCAAGGGAGGCCTGCTCGGCCTCAGAGGGAAGCAGGGTTTGGGGTTAGGGTCTAGGGTTTGGTGATTTCAAGGTCTAGGGTTTAGGGCTTCGCAGTTTGAGTTTACATTTTAAGGTCTAGGGTTCAAGCAGTCTGGGCTTGAAGGTAGCCTTGGGCTCTCATAGTCCAAGGTGCCGCAGAAGTCATCCACGAAGTCGGCCAAGCGCCGCAGCGAGGGCTCTGGCGAGGCGGGGCCGAGCATGGCCTGGAAAGAACGCACCAATTATCCCCATATATCCCCAATATAACCCCTATAATCCCTATATAACCCCATAATCCCGATATAACCCCTATAATCCCTATATAACCCCTATACTCCCTATATAACCCCTATATAATTCCTATACTCCCTATAGTTTCCATTTTCTCTTCCGTTATCCCAAGTATAACCCCAATGTAACATCCTAACAAGTTGGGTTAACCCCCCACCCAGTCATGGGTAGCACAGGGGACAAAGGGTTTAGGTTGGGTCAACCCCCCACCCAGTCATGGGTAGCACAGGGGACTATAGGGTTTAGGTCTTTAGGTTGGGTCAATCCCCCACCCGGTAATGGGTACTGCAATATTGCAGGTATATTCGGGCCTAAGGAGCTACTACTATAGCGGGGATTGACCTAACTTATAAGAGGTTGTCTCCAGGTCGGGGTATTTGGTGGGACTCTTTGATGGATTCTAAAAGATTTTAACGACGCTCCTGAATCAATCTAATGTAATCATGTCAAGAGGGGGACTGGAAGAGTACGGAGTCAAAATCATCATGTCAGGTTTAGACGTCTAAAGCATGGATGTTGCTTGAATCACGCAATCTCGCGAATGGAGCCTTCCAGGGCCCGGAGGCTAAACCCCCTAAACAGCCTTGGTTGGGAGGAGTCATTCGCTTGCCTAGAAGACGTTTGCTCTGCAGGGTTTGCCTCAACCTTTAGAACGCTCTCGTGGGGCGGAGGGTCGCTTCGTAAAGTAGAATTCGGCCGAAGGTGCTATACTTATTGCTTTGGCTCAGACATGCAGTCCCTATCCCTATTCCAATCTTTCAGAAGCCCCTCCTATTACAGATTTTCCATTTGGCATGCCACTATTCTTACGGAGTTTATGAAGCGTAGGGACATTATCTTTACGCAAGACTCCTAGAATCTCCTCGTAACTGCCAGTACATATCGCTTATTGCCCTTAGTAGAGCTCTCTAGCTGGCGATTCCAGGCCTCGGACAAGGATGCGATGGCGGACACAGCCGCAGGCTCAGTGCCTCAAGGCTTCATAGGTTTCAGGGTTTGGGGTGCGGTGCAGTGGAGTCAGTCTGGGGCTACTGGAGGTGCTTCTGTAAGGCTTTAGCATGAAGCCTGGAAGTTCACCCTGGAGCCACGGAATTCGGTAAAAGAAAAGTCTGCTGCAACCCTTGAAGGGTGCTTGCTTTCCTATGAGGCTCCAAAGTATGGATCTGAAGAGGCGCCGCCAAGGAAGGCTTGAAAGTCCACATTCCGAGCAAGCCCGCACAAGCCTCAAAAAGCCAGAATGACTACAAGGATCTGGAGGCACCTAGCACCTAGGCCTGAACATGTCCCTTCAAGTCCTTTTACAGCTACCGGCAACATCAAAGTTAGTTAGTATTGGGCAAATGTTGGCCCAGTGGCCTTCTTGTGCTTCCTCTGCCCAAGCACGAAGCACGGGTGGCAGGAGCACTCCTTAAAGAGGCTTAGCAGGTGAGAGCTTGGGTTGACGGTCTTCAGGTTCAGGAGTTAGGGGGTTTGCGGTTCAGGGGTCTAGGGTGCAGGGTAAATGAAACTTTGGCTTGAGAGGCTGACCTCTGCCGTATTTGAGGAAGCTACCAACTTATCCCATGCCAGCAGCGCGCGCATCTCAAATTCAAGTGGCGTTACTATCTCTTCCATCTGCCGGCAAGGCCACCAACGCAAGCAGCCAGTGTTAGTTCCAATGGACAGCCGTCAAAATGCTGTGTCAGAGCTTGGCAGATTGGGGCTGGCCTTCAGGACTTTGGGGTTGAGGCTTGAGCGGGCGTGGGTGTTTTGAGCTATGGACATGCACGTGTAAAATCAGTGTGTTCCTCAAGTGTGCGGTCAAAAGCTCAGATCTAAGTTCAAAGTGGCAAGAACCACCTTCACGTCCTGCTGGCTCAATACATAGGTCCGATCTTCTTCAAAGCTTGCAGAAGGCCAGCCAAAAAATCCACAGGACAAAACAGTTGGTTCACAGAGCCTGAAAGACAACAGAGAGCCTCCACGTGGGGCCTACGACCCGTGAAGAGCTCAGGCTTTAACCCCCCAGAAACCTGGACCACATTTCCTGAAACTCAAAGAAACCTGAAGCCCGAAAACGCAAAACATGAGCGGCTAACATGCTTGGATCTGTCAACCGGTTCAAACCCAAATTTTTCGGACCTGGGAAAGCACGAACAAGAAAATAAAATAAAAATGAACAGAACCTTTGAAAACAACAAGCCCTGACCCCAAAAAGTTTCGATGGCCTTAGCCCGAGCTGCTGCAGGCCAGGGAAAAAGGTACGTCCGGGCGTGTCCCGGTAAGGATGGAGGCCAATGTGTGAACCACACTCAGCGCTCCTGTATAGTTATACAGGGACAGATATGTATACATGCGTATTTATATGCAGGGATATACAGGGTTATGTACATATTTAGGGAGTTTCAAGCTGCCAGAATTTTGGAGCCTTCAGGCTTCAGAACTTTGAGAATATAGGGCTTTGGATTGGGGCTTAGGGTTTGGGATTAACCGATAACCATAAGCAATGTACACCCACCACAGCATCAACAACACTATACCTTTTTCAAAGCCTGGGCTTGAGACCTCGGAGAAACTAGGGCCTGAGATCGTAAGTGAGGTTTGGGTCTGTTTCTAGGCGAGTCGGAGATTGCTGGGAAACCATGGAACAGGACCATCCTTCACATACATGGCTTGAGCAGTCAAAAAAAAAATGAAGGCTCCCGGTTCAACAGTGATCCAGGTGGGCCGACTTTACCTTAATTTGGAGTTGCGGACGGAGGCTCAATTCTTATCGTATTTTGCTGTGCTGTTATTGTTTAGTTTGCTCTACTTATTGTAGTGTGCCGACTATGTCTCTCCTGACTGCTTTTACATAAGCCCTTCTATCGCCCGGATCGCATACTTCTCATCCTACTACAGCTACCTCCACACTGGATCTGCCACTCCCTACCCCTACCACTACCACTCTGCAAGCAAATCTACTGCTGCCATTGGCATCTTTACTGCTGCCAATCAAAACCCATAGGCCCATGCTTCGCCTCGTGCATTGGCATCTGCATCCGAGGCAGAAACCCCGGCAGAAAGTGCAGCCTGTCACACGTGGGAGTTCAGGAGTTGGAGACTGCAGATTGGCACATCCACTACGAATCCTCAAGACTCCCCCAGCTGGACATCCATTGCCTCCAAACCAGTAACACAAGTTTCCATGCTCTTTTCAATTTCGTTCTCCATTTGTTGCGGTGGTATCACTATATGAATATCAAAGAACTCTTGTATTACCCCTACATATGCTCCATTAGAGCCCCCTGTGTAACCTCTACAGAACCTCTCTTAGAGCCCCTGTAAAACCCTGCATGAAATTAATACTTTATTGACCCCTTTATGACACCTTAGGATTTGTGTGCCATCTTATTGCTCGAGACCGCCTCCAAGGCATCCACGGCTGCGTTCCTGATGGAGTTGTGTCAAAAAGAGAGGCTATGTATGTAGGCTTTATACATGGGCTGGAAAGGGGTCTGAAAGGGGATATAGAGGGGTTGTATAAGGTTTACATAGGAATGGAGAATCAGATGGAAAAGAATCTCGAAAATGAAATCAAAACCGGGTTACTGTGCCATCCGCCCTGATGAATATTACATTGGAATGTTGTTCAGTAAGGTTGGTACGGTTAAGGGTTGAGGGTTTAGGGTCACGATAAGATGTCTTTTTCACATTATTGCACGATTAAGGGTTGAGGACTTAGGGTCATGATAACATGTCTGTTTCACCAGGCGTCTCAAAGTTGGATCAGAACATGAGAACAAGCGTATGGTGCAGAGAAATGGTGTTCGATCCTTCGAGGTCTTCCTCATATGAGGAATCTGCCTGCTTTAGAGTCTTCTGGGCCCCTAGACGTACTGTGGTTAGTATGGAATGAGGGAATATACTCCCTGTATAATCCCTGCAGAATATGTTCTCTTATTCCCTACTACAACCTTCATATCACCCTAGTATAATGTAGTAGTTCCGTTTTCTTTTCCATTATCCCCATAAAACTCCAACATATCTGATTCACTGGTACCCCCTCGTAAGTAACCCTAAACCCTAAACCCGTTGAACCCTGAACCCTAGTAGACTGGAAACTAACATCTGTCCTGGCATCTCCTAGAATGCCAGGAAACAACACAAGGAAGGAATGTTCCGCGAATACATGAAACGCTCCATGAACCTGCATCACAAATAGGCTCCTAATCCCCCCAAGACCCTGGCGAACATTCCACGCAAAGCCCTAAAGCCCTAAATCCCAAACCCCAGCACCAAACATCCTGCAGAAAGACCGAGATTCTCTGGATGCCGTAGTGCAGAAAAGGCCCTCAGAACCACGGAAATAGACTGCACAACAAAACAACAAATGCTTTGGGAGGGCACGGCGGAAAGCATCTTTTCGTTAGGGGGAAACTAGTGTAGGCTGAGGGAGGCAACAGCTTCAAGAATGCGCAACCAAACTGAACTGTTCACAACCCGAAAACCTACGTTCGTGAAGACCCTCTCGAACCCCCCCCCATGATCTCGTTTAGAGTCCATTAACAGAAGCAAACTCAATCAACTGTTGTGGCTTGAGGGCTGTGAAGGTGTGGCTTGGGGCACCGCGTATTGAAATTGTTTGGGGTGGGGGGTTCGGACTGCGCTGCTTCTTGGCTTTGGGATAGGTGGCGCGATCCTCTCAAAGAAGAACCCATGAACCTCGACATGATACCGAATGTAAGAGCCCAAATACTCAGAACGATGGAGACTCAAATGACAAGCAAACTGGAAAAGGAACAGAAACGTTGACTGTGGTTATATAGCCAGGAAAATGGAAGTTGTATGCAAGGCCCCGAAACGTTGTTTGATGATGGTTTTGTCATAATGTACTGTGGTGGTATACACATCATGAGGGAATGGTGTTTCAGCTCTTTAGGCAAATACATCAAGCTGAGAGCGCCTAGAAGAGTCTAGAACCTTAATCAAGCAGCGCTTCTGCGATGTATCTGAGGATTCCTGTCACCAAGTAACGACTTCAACCATGACCAAAGCTGGAGCTTCTGCTGCAACAACCATCTCCGAAATCCCTGTGATGACACCAGATTCCCCATGATAAGCACCATACTCGCCCTACCCCAATCTTTAGGATCAAGGGCTTATTCCAATGATCCCAAGTCAGGCAGGACACGAGCCCGCGCCCACCATCATGTCATCCATGAGCTGCTGCTCCTTCATTGTTTCATGGAGTGACAGGCATCAGTACTGTAGCGGCCGAAACAATGACCAATAGCACTTTGAGGCCTATTTCAAGTACTTTACACAATGGTAATAGTAATACAAGGAACCTAGGACCATGCTGTTGGCAATTATTTAAGCCTCCATACTAAATCCTTGCATGTTATAAAGCGCATGCACTGGGTAAAGAACTGATTCTTCTTCCCCCATAGCCCCGCTTGTTTCCCATGATGCCAGCACGAGCGCACTAACTTTTGGGGATGCTTTTCGGATTTAGGGTTTAGGGTTGTTCTCAAATTATTGGCCCCTTTTGGTCATAGGCTATAAAATGGCAACGAATATTTAGGGGTGCCAAAATGGGACCCTAATTTTGGGAACTACCTTTTAGCTAATTAGGAATAGCTCCTTGATCGTTCCTCCCGAAGCCGCTGCGGAGTCCTTCGTGGGAAAGTCGGCTAGTTGGGTTGTAGGGGCTCGATTCAGCATGTAGGAGCCTTGGGCTGCCAAGCCTTGAACATGACTTGCCTGTTGAGGACGATGCCTGTAGCCATTCCTACCGGAAGCAACAAATCTTCTGCAGAAAGATCACTACAGAATCCAGGAATTGTCTTGTGAGGAGATGATATGATCAGTGCAAAACCAACGCACCCTGCAGCTCAATCATTCAAGGGATCATTGTTATCGCTATGTTTTTTCTGCTGCTAACGCTGCTATAGTTCGCGGAGTCGTAGTAGTAGAGGAAGATTCAGAAGTAGAAGTACGATCAGCGCTCCTCCTCCTTTGCTTTCTCGTAGATACTACCTCCTGAACCTCCTAGGTCCTGCTGCTCCTACTCCTATCACCACTACCACCACACCATGACAATGATTGGTATTATCACTGATGCCTCTACCCTGTATACAGGTAAGGCTCGACGAAGACGCTGAGAGCGTGGGCCATAGCAGCTGCTGTTCCTCTCAACGCGCGTGCTTAGTCGGGAATGAGGATTTGTATTCTGCGGGGATGATAGACGTCACAAGGATCATAGAATGTGGGTTTTTGGGCTGCTCTTTGCGTATCATGGGGGATTTTGTAGACTACACTATATGAGCCCTGTACTAAATGTGCAGTATATCCCCTAATAGGTCCCCCCAAAACCCTATATAGTCCCCTATAGGTCCCCCCCAACCTAAACTTAGTCCGCAGCTCATATGGATCCGTGGCCCCATTCCCTACTCAGCACCAGGTAGCTCAATTCACTCTGCACAGCTTGCGCACTGCAGCCCTCTGGCGGCTTCCTACATAGGGGCGCCTTAAAGTTTACAAAGCGACGAAACCCCACTAGGAACCTAGAGGGGTGAACAGGAGTGAGGGGGGTCAACAAATTCCGAGGGTCCCTTTTTGGCGTGGGTCCCTGTTGTACAGGTTGTTTCCCAGGTGACCGGTCGAGGAACTCAGACATGCCTGACTGCAATATTTTTGGCTATCTGCAGGGGACCCCCATGGTTGCTAATAAGATCATAAGCATACAGACTTTCGGGGCCCCCCCTGAATTCTGAATTTTGGCCTGCTTCCAGGGGCTCTAGAAGTCAGTCCTATCAACAGCCCTTGGCCTGCAGCTTCGGAGGATTGCAGCGACAGTCACAGTCATTAGCTTCTACTGGCCTTACTTGACTCCCGTCATGCGTTAGACCCCCTTTTCAACACTGCGACAAGGCAGCTGCCTGTTCTTGTACTCTAGTAGCTCGATGCTGTTGGGAGAGATGCATCTTGTCTTTGCCAAACAGACAAAAGTGCCTACAGCCTACATGGAAAGTGGGTTCCTTCACCTCTCTACTTCCCCTCAGGCCACTTTGATTGCTGTTGAATAGGTCCGGTCTGAACATCATCTCAGGATGATATCATGAGAGCTGTTGTCTATCAGGATAGAGCAATTCAAGAATCCGTCCTCGAGTTGACTGACTCTGAGTGACCGTCGCGTCGGCCACGACAGCAGTAGCCTGGAGCCCCACACCAACGCCATAGGGGCCTCACAACTTGAAGGCTTCTCAGAATTCTGCATAAAAACCTCGAGGAAAGCTTCCTGTCCGAGGGTGTATGTTGTCACAATTCAAGGCCAGGGTTTTAAGGATGGTGTAGTTGGGCTTTCCAGCCTTTAGGGTGAAACGCTTCGGGCGCAGGAACATATACACAAGCCTATGTTCTATCCCAGTATCATTGATAACCTTACCTGACACTGAGCCCTCAAAGCTTATACCCTACACCCTGACTATGATTACTATGAATATGACTATGACTATTGTTACTTTTATTCTTACCAGCAACCCTGAATCCTCGGCAACCTGAAACCAACAGCCACCGAGATGCCAGGCCCCGCCACGGCCAAAGGTGCCAGGGCTTCCAAGCCCTCCGGCCGAATCCTTTGAAAAGAAGGAAAGCTTACCAGCTTTTTTAGGGTGCTGTGGGGTTGTTATAGTTTGGGTTGAGGGCGAAGGGTATGTTAAAGGGGCTTGAGAATTCTGAGTACACTTGTCGTTGACATACTGCCTTTTATTTTGCAATGTTGCCACTTTGATCTTGCTATTGCCGCTACTACTGCTGCTACTACTCTTACTACTACTACTACTACTACTACTACTACTGTTACTACTGTTACTACTGTTACTACTGCTACTACTGTTACTACTACTACTACTACTACGACGACGACGACGACGACGACGACGACTACTACTACTACTCCTACTGCTACTGCTACTGCTACTGCTACTCCTCCTCCTACTCTTACTCCTACTCCTACTCCTGCTGCTGCTCCTGCTCCTACTACTACCACACGTGTACTGCTGTTACTACGTCTTCTTCTACAACCTTTAGTGGCACCGCCACCACTCCGACTACGGCTGACGCTTCTGATACTACTTCTACTTCTAAGGCCGAAGGCTTCCGCGTCTGTGGATTGAGGAGCTAGACCAAGGGGCCCTGGAGCCGTGTCATGTGCTGAGTCTCCACGACAACCACCCCTTCAGTAGTAGATCTGTAAGGCTGACGCACTCACAGCATAGATTAGGTGTTTGGGCTTGGGAGCTTGGGTAAGGCAACTTTCAGTGGCTTGATGCCTTAGGTCAAAGGCTTCTCAGGCAGGTTGCGAGCTTGAAGTCGGCCGATTGCCGTGCTGAATGAGGCAAAGAGCAGCTGCTCTGTGATTACTGGTATTCCCAGTATTCTTATCACTCTTATTTCGATCCCTATTTGTGTTTCTATGATTACTATTAGTACTGTTATTGCTATGGTAACAGTACTGACAGTAAGGTGGGCATGAGTTAGCACGTTAGCTTACTGGGGTTGGTAGGGGAAAGGGACTATCTCAGGGAACATACAGAGATTCTATTCCCTTATTTCCTGCTAAGACCTAATAAGTTAAAGAATCAAGAGATCTTTTGCACAGGGTGGCTACACCAATTCATGGAAAGGAGTCGTGGCAACAGTGCCAACAAGAGCAACAGTAAGAGTGAGATGAGCTGGCAACGACACCGGCGCAAGGAATGCCACAAACCAAATTGTGCTGCCAGCAACTTAGGTCTACTGGGGACGACAATAGCAATCGCTGTGTACCGATGAGAAGGCTAGTGCCACTAGTGACCAGACAACGGCAGCTTAGCACTGACGATAAGAGGAGTAACATTCGAGTGAGGCAGCAACGACAATTGAAGGCACAAACATGAGTACCTTTGGTGACGAGAACAACTGTCATACCATCAGCTGAAACCTGCGAGCCCCAGGGGCAAACAGCGGCCGCTGGTTGTCGCAACTGCGGCAGTAGTCGGGACCAACAACAGCGGTAGTGAGGAGCCTGGCTTAAATCCGAATCTTAATTTGATGCTTCCTCTCAAGGATTGCACACAGCGATGCTGTGGAGATTCTAATTCTAAAGGGAATGTCAGGCTTTGTATAAGGGTTTTAGGTATGCTTTCTGCAGCGCATACGGTGAACGTCTGTGAACCTTCTGTTGCTCTCGCTAGCGACTGCGTCTCGAAACGTGACAGCTATCTACGAAGAGAGGAGCTCTCGGCAGAGTTTCCCATACAACTGCAGGAACTTTCTGGTTAGTAGGGAAGAAGGAAATATGATCTATGGGGACTATAAAGGGGTCATATTCCCTTATTCTGTTATTCCCTACTAACAACCAGTAAGGTAAGGCTTCTTACTTTGTGCTTCTTCAAGAGAACTGACAATATCACCGCAAACCCTAAATCCTAAACCACTGATGAAATTGAATCGTACTTTCTCCTGGGGGATCCTTTCTTGTGTTTGCCTACAAACGTACTCCAAACATGAACTAGTGCTTCCTTGACCACAAAATCATGACATCCCGAACTCTGAGTCGATTGGGGGACCACCCTAAAACCTGTGCCCGTAGCTCTAGACCCTGAACCATAAAACCTAAACCCTAAAAAGCCCCGGCCCTTTGCCTGCCAAGAGCGTGGACGGGCGCTGTTCTCCCTCACTTCCGAGGAGAAACCTCTCGGTGAAAGGGGCCTCAGATGTGTAAAGCTAAGTGAGCTACAGTCAATATTCAAGGTGGGTTTAGGGCTTGGGGTCCAGGGCTCAAGGTTTAAGGTTTAAGGTCCAGGGTTTTTAGGTCCAGAGACTCAAATTTAGGGCTAGGCTACGCTTGCCGCTGCGATTTTGGGTTGTCTTCGGGATGCCGGGGAAGTATACAGCTTCGAAGAGGATTCTGAGGCATCCTTCTGAAGTTGATGAGCTGTGAGATGCAAAGGATTCTGGTATGTAGAAAACCCATTTGGGATAATACTAGGGTTATATGGGGATTATGGAAAAGAACATGGAAACTACTGTAATGGGTTATATAGAGTTTAGGGGGTGCGATCTGAAGCGTATGCAAGTGGTGGATTTGGTGTTCTGAAGGAATTCGCGGCTGAATTTGGAGTTCAAACATACGCCTTGGCAAAATCACATACCAACTCTGTCTGACCTGGCTCTGGGTTGGGGGTCGTGGGTTTTAAGCCGCAAGGTGCAAGAGCTTCAGGCAATTACCCTTATAGAATCCTTGAATCCTATATCTGAACTGTAGAATTGTACAGAAACACCAGGAAGGCAGATTGGCCATGGCCATCCCAGCCTGTACCTAGCTTGATGAAGGTGCATGTGAGGATGACCCTAAACCCCAGTGTCCCCCTTTGACTTACTGGTGCTTAGCGGGGGCTGGGGGAGTGCATACCTTCAGTAATCCCCATCATAGAACATCACCGCAAATCATCGTCAAGCACCAGTAATTTGAGCCCTTTGTTGGACTCTTTCTTCCTGTGTCAGAATTACAAAGCGGGGCTGGGTTTAGGGTTTGGGGTTTAGGAGCCGAAAGTAAACTATTTGAAGCCCTACGCGCGTGCGACTTAAAAACTCGGAGTACGCTGCCGTAGCTTCGTTGCCTCCTGTCGAAGGCAATTCATTTCAAGGCGCAAAGTCTTTGCCCGTGCGCCAGGTGGCGTAGGTTTCGCGGACGAGCCTTTTCGGTTTCGGGTTCAGGCGGAGTTTAAAAATTGAGGTGGAGAGTCTAGGATTGTGGGATTGGGTTGATAGGCTTCACGGTTTAGGGTTTCCAGATAGAGGTCTAGGATTTAAGCTTCAGGCGCCTGGATTTTGCATTGAGGGTTCCGGTTTAATGCTCGAAGATAAAGCATCTCTCTTGTTTGGGGGAGGCTTCTGCAAGGCCTTTAAAAAGTGAATCTTGAGACTACCTCGGTAGAGAAGACAAGCCATGAAGAATCCAAGGACTACACAAGACTTCTAGGAGGAAATAGGCCGAGAGCATGATGTAAGAGGTTTAGGGTTTCTGGTTAGAAGTTTAGGGTTTCGGTTCAGGGTTAGGGTAAGAGGTCCTTCCTGAACTCCCAAACCACTTAGCCACAAAATATGTGTCCTTCCTTTCTACATCTCAACAG